ATATATATATATATATATATATATATATATATATATATATATATATATATATATATATATATATATATATATGGATATATTTTCTCCCTAACAGTTAAATTTGCTCTTAACACTTTGCACTTTAGCCCCAAACCCTTCTGTTTTGTTTTTTGTCAGAATTATTATTATGCTACAAAGAAGGTTCTCACCAAGCCGCTACTTAGGATGTAAAAGTCATCACCAGAGAAGATGGATCCAGGATAGGATGAAAAAGCCTGAATTCCCCCAGGAAGATAATAGTTATCTGAAAAAACACATACGGTTTATTTTTGAATAAAAAAAATAAAATAGAAAAAAACTCTATCATAATTTCAACTATGTTTATACAATAGTTTTTTAGAATTCATTCAATTATTCCTATTATTTATTTATAAATTTATTGTGGGCCTTTACTAAGTACCCACCTAAAGGAGAGACTTTGAAGGCAAACATGTATTTCTTCATAATGCGCAGCATAGCCTGATAAGTGTTCCAGGTGTCGTGTGACACCAGAAGTTCCTTGTTGTTTGGTAGGAGTTTAATGAGAGCAGAGCAGGAACCAGATCCAAGAGGCTGCAACTCGCTGGATTTGTTCAGAGCTGATTCTAAGTCCTCCAGGTCTCCACCCATCTGGAAAAGTCTGCATGCACAAAAAAGACAGACAACAATGACAAGCAAAGCTTTAGAAGCAGATTGACTGACATAAAACTGTAAAACAAAACTCACAGGAATCCAAATGGGTTGAAGGAAAGACGTCCCTGAGGAAATGACAACTCCTCATTATAGCTGTCCTCCAGACCTTTCAGTTGCAGCAGAGCCAGGTGAACCTGGCCATAAAAAATGCACAGTTAGACCCACTAGTCAGTAGTACATTTTTATGTGTAAACACACTTCCTTTGAAGTACCTGGTACCAATAGGGGGAATTTGAATTTTGCTCTATTTGGTCTTGAATCCACTGCATATTAGTTGTGATGTAGGCCTTCAGACGTTCACAGTAAGCTGTCTCACTCTTGAATGGTCCACAGTAGCTCATTAGAGTGTTCATCCAATGCTTGTATATGAGCTAAAAGACACACAAAGACGTAGGTACATATAGCTCAAGGACTTGAATTGTGAGTTGAAGCACAAGAAAAGCTTGTTTGCTCTGACCTGAGATGTGACAGCAGCTTCCACTGCACCGGCGGCGTAGGCCTGAATGCTGTCATTAAACTGACTGCTTGTTGTGACCTCCAAGAAAGACCAACTAACAAAAGGAAACATTTGGATTCATATCAAAAGTCATGTTTCATAAAATGGAAGTGTGTTGAAATTTTACAAAAAAAAAAAATAGTATCAGTATCTTGCAAATTCATTTTCCTCAGTTATTTTAATGCAATTAATTTTTTTACACATTCCTAAATATAAATGTCTAAAGATACTGTAAGTGGCACTGATGTACTTTCACCATGTGTACGTTTTTGTTAAAACACAAACATAAAGCAACCACGACTTGGGGGAGTTTTAATTCAAAGAGAAATTTGTATGTCCTCCTGTCAGTTATGGTTTGAGGGTCATGTGATCTAAAAACTACTGAGAGCAGCAGTTTGCTTTTTTTGTGGTCATTTTAAAGCCCTGTAATCAGCTGAAATGGCTGCATTTTGAATCCACACTCTGGTTTGGAATATAATTAGGTTATGTTGTTTTTAGGACAAATCTGGGATTGTAATTGAATAGGTACAGTCTGGTTTTCAGATCTACAATAAAAAAAAACAGTTTCTAAATTCATGCTAAATACTACTTTTTTAACAGTTAGTAATTAAAGTATCTATAAAAACCTTAAAATGGCAGTTCTTCTCTAGAAAAAAACATATACGTCATAAAGTTTCAAATAACCAAGATGTTTATATTTGAGAAGCTGGGATCAAATTTCGTACTCTTACTAACTTAAAAATGTTTAATTTATCAGAAAAATCCTAATGACTAAATTATTTGTCACTAACTCCTGGGTTCGTGTTTGATTAAAAACAGCATCAATTATCACTTTAAAATGTCAGATTGAATTATAAATTGTTGTTGTTTTCTACGTATAGTTCTCTGAAGCTCACGTAGAAACAATTAGCTCATCATACTCACCCTGTTGTTTTAATGGCATCAGTAAAATTGGCCCAGGCGATAAAATCCTCTCTGTATCCGTTCACCACAGTCAACTGACTGCTTTCATTGTCAATTACTGCGCTGCGGATTTCACTTCCCACAGAAAATGAACTAAATACAAACAAAACTACAAAAGCATTTAAAATTCTCTCGACTAACATTTTGTTTTGTCTGAACGCCATGTTTGCGTTCAATGGACAAATCACGTGACGACGCGGCTGCCTGGTCACCTGATCATAAACTTTCAGAACAAAAGTCTTTCTCGTTTACTAGTATTACTCCGTGAAATAACACAATTAAAATACACGTCATATTTATTTTAAAACTCTGACTAGACCATAACGATAAGATGTGTTAAAAGGATAGGATTTACCTAAACTATTTAAAATAATTTATATTTAATATAGATATATATAATATATATATTAATATACACTATATATATAATTTTTTTCTCTATACATAGTACAAAAATTAGCTTTTTAGGTATAATAATGAAGCTAGCTAAAATGCTACAACATGTTTATGAAATAAAAAAACCTGGATAAAAATAAGTGTTTGTTTTTCTTGCAGAGGTATCTGACATCAGTGAAATAAACACTTAACGAGTTTTCAAAGAGGAATTAAACTTTACAAAAAAAAATGGAAATAAGTAATTTATCTGAAGCATTTTTCCTATACAAAAGAACAATAAACGTCACTAAAACTCTGATTCAGCTGACATCCTTCTATTATATTGTCTTCCACTGTCTAATCCTGTCAGAGGATTGTCTACTACTGTGTCTCAGTATGACCAGAGTATGTAAAAATGGGCCAACAACAACCTCTCACTCTTTGATACACACAGTCACCTTAAATGTCATTTAGGTTGCTATATATACCTATAACATCTGGGTAAAGTTCACTATGTTTTTTACAGTATTGGTCTGTGTTTCCAAGATGATCGTATAAAGCGTTTGGACTTTTCAGTCTTCTGCGGCTCCATCTGTTTCCATATTTTCAAGAATTCCCTCCATCACCTCTGCCTTTCTTTTCTTTTTGGACACAACTGAAAAAAAAACAGGTGTTAAATAAATAAAAGAAGTCAATAGGAGTAAAACAAGTAGAATTACTCATACATGTTTTGTTCAGAGGTTGGATAAGATCTAGACAACCTATATATTATAATTATAATAAGACATGTTTTACTTGCTGTAAAGCATCATCAATTGCTCTGTAGGTCAAAAACGGGCATAAAAATAGATTTATAAATAGATTTATATGTGTTTTCACTAAAACAGGACTTGAAGCTAATAACACAGAAAAAAAAATAAACGAAAAAAAAAACAAAAAAAAAAAGTGTATGAGTTCTGAATTACCATGAAAATGTTCTGCCGTTTTTCGTCTCAGTGTCTCCACAGTTTCCTCAGCATCAGCCCACTCCAGCACGAGACGTCTCCCGTATAGATGAGTGCTGTGGCACAGAGCGGCAAATGCTTTCTAAAGAGATAAAGAGATTGAATTTAAATGAGCATGGTCACAGTATGTTGTTGTAGTACTAAACAACTTAAAATATCATATACTGATATTACTTTTATATGACCTATAACAAAACAGAAACATTAAATCCAACACACACCTTGGCATCTTGTTTAGTGAGGAAGTCAACAAATCCAAATCCTCTGTGGTTCCCAGAGCCAGTGGCTTTTTTTGGAAGACGGACTGTCTTCAGTTCTCCAAACGTACTGAAAGGATGACGGGGACAAAATTACAGCATGGACAAACAAAGTAAGAATAATCTTATGGCTCAAGCTTTTTAACTCATTAATTACATTAAAACAACAGGTTTGTCACTAACCAGAAGAGTTCTCGGATTTCTCTGACAGTGGCCTGGAAGGGAACGTTGCGCACCATGATCTTGGATCCTGTCTGTTTCTTGTCTACCTGCTTCTTCTTGCGGGTCACTTCTGATGTTCTGCACCAAAGTGGGAAAAATGTGTTGTGATTATACAGTAATTTGCTCAATAATAAACACATTTGAGGTGAAGAATGTTATAATACACCCTAACAGATTTGGTTTTTCATAAAAAACTAATCTCTATTTTTTTTAAATATTGAAAGATAACAATATATTTCTAGAGGAATGTTTACCTTGTAGCCCTTTCAGAAATCTTTAGCTCTAACTGGTGATCATCCACAGTGGAGCGCTAGAGAGAAAAAAAAAGAGATTGTTAAACTGAATATTAGTTTGTGTTGTTTAAATTGACAAATCGTAGTCATATCTTTGTCAAAAAAAGACTCTTCTTTGCTTGAGCAATGCCTCGAAAGTGTTCTTGCAGGAGACGATTACTTTTATTTTTCACATGATGTAAATTACCCATTGAGTAGCCGAAGTACGAGAAAGCAATTTTATTTTTCCCTTGTTTAATAGAGCAGATAAAGCAGTGGCTATAAAAATGACCTCGGGAACTTTTTTGAATGATTTAGATTACACTTCTGGTTCCAGCTGACAAATTAGTGTGAATGTGATGTGTAATGTGAACTGTTACCTGCAGCTGCCTCAGGGCTTTCTGTGCTGCTTCTGCCATGTGATACTGGACAAAACCAAAGCCCATGGACAGGAGTTTACCTGAGGGTAGAAACGTAGAACAATTTGTTGATGACAAAACATACACACATGTTTTTTGAGACCCAGGAACAATTTGTAAACAATCTGAAAACACAAAATCAACTAATCAAATATTGCATGCATGTAATTACCTTGACAATTGTCATAAAGTCTTTAATCTAAAGACTTGTTAACACCATTGAAAAAACACAAGACTCTGAATAATTTATTTTTATTACCTGTTTTATCTTTCTTCTTAGAGATGCTGCAGGACTTGACTTTTCCACATTTAGCAAATGTCTATGAAAAATACAGAAACTGACATTAGTTATTTTTTTTATCTTTCATATTTTTTTGAAATTAGAGCTTTGCTTGTTTCATGTACAGACTGACCTCTTGTAATGTCTCCTCTGTGGTTCTGAAATTTAGATTTTTGATGAAAAGCGTGGAGCCTGGAGCAGATTCTTCCTCCTCCTCCTCCTCCTTCTCTTCACCTTTGTCCTCTTCTAACTTTTTCTCTTCTTTTGCCAACTCATCTTTCACTTGCACTGCATAAACACATCTTTGAGACTCAGATTTAAAGAGTTAGTGAAGTGTTTTCTTTTCCTGTGCATGTAGGATTTTACCTGGTACAGGTTTAGGAGCCACAAAGACCCCAACAGGTGCCCACTCTAAATACAGTGGAACATGATGGAACTGAAAGATTTTGAGATAGAAAAAAGGAAAGAAAACAAAATGACTTTAAGTGTCTCAATTCAAAGCACATTTTGTGGTCAAATGACACAAATCAAATGTGATACACACCTTGCTGTAGGCCAGTTTAGTGAAGGCTCGTTTTGCTTCAGTTGGTTCCAGGTACTCAATGATGGCAGTCAGTCCTGATGGTGGAAGCAGTACTCGACCCAAAGAGCCGTGAGGTGAGAAGAGTTCCTCCAGCTCTGACACAGACACTCCAGCAGGAAGGTTTTTGACCAGGATGACTGTTTTGCTCCTCTCTGCTGCTGCCTGTACATACATTACAGACATAAATGAATGAATGTCATTAAGTGCTTTAATGAAATAATAACACTTTCCAACAGTATGTGCAAAAAACAAGTTAACATGTTAAATTTGACAGCCCAAATATAAATATGTGTATTAGACCAACGAATCTCTGTCTATGTTTTAGGGCCGGGCGATTCATTGAAATTTGATTTTGTTTACAAATTTGGCTTCTCACGATCATGGAAATAATTAAATAAAATGATTATTGTGCCAAGCGTGTGATGTCAGTGCAGTTGTTGTTGTAAGACATCAAAGAAGCATGAACACACTATGTTTGCGGTTCTTTGATGTCGTCCAACAACAGGGTCAAACATAAAGTACATAGGAGTTCACGTTAAAATACCTGACTAAACGAATCCAGACTGATACTGTTGTCTAGAAGAAACTGTCGTGTCTCCTGCACAATTTGTGTCTCTCCCAGGGCCATCCTTACTGCAACACTCCCCTTGGTTTCCTACAGACGAAGACAAAAACAATTTAAGAGTTTCAGTTAAGATTATGCTGAAAAAACAAATCGTGAAAAAGGAAAAAAAAATAAGAAAAAAAAGCCCCCTTACATGGTCCAGAACTTGGCTTTTAGTCGTGTTGTACTTTTCAGCAATGGCATCAGCAACTGCACTTGTGCCAACAAACAAAGTGTTCCAATTGTGTGAACTGGAGGGACGAAGGAGAATAATCATGTAAAAAGAAAAAAGTCAAAGGAAGACACGAAAGGAGAAGCAGTTTTTCAAGGACCGTGTATAGTTGAGTTCAACAGACCTGGAGCTTGAAGCTTTAGTCTTTGCATCTCTTTGTCGTTTGTAGGATGAAGAGCCAGGACCTCCAGCCTCTGAAGGTGCAGTCTTTTCCTTCTTTAAAGTAGAGGGAAGTAGATGAAGCATCCTTCCCTAAAGGCACAACAAAGTTACAATATTCACTCTAAGTGTATAATATTGAAGCCACTACCCGTGTTCTAGGTTGAAGAGGTGATTAGAAATACCTGAAATACATGTCCATCTAACTGAGTAAAAGCTGTCACCGCATTCTCTGGTATCATGTAGGTCACAAAAGCAAATCCTTTCGGTTTCTTTGTTATTGCGTCGATTGGGAAGTGAATTTCAGATGTAGGACCTGTAAACATCGTATAGTTAAAACCCAGAAGACTGTCTGGAATATGTCATCCTACAAGCCATGTTTTCCTTATGCACCATGTTTATCAAACAATTCTTTGATGTTGTCCTCGGTGCAGGAGTATGGCAGATTTCTGACAAAAAGTCGCCCAGACTCTGCAACATCTTCTTCCTCTTCATCATCCTTCAGCTTCCTGGTGAAGTTTCTGTCAATTTCTTTGTCTTTTCTGTCTCTCTTGCCCCTATAACTGCCGTCTACTGAGAACACCTCGATGTAACGACCACCTAACAACACAATAATACCAACTTTATGTACTGTTTAGCGGCTCGAGTCTTTCAAATTAGAACTGGCTTTAACATATCAGGGTTTTTGTGTTTTTTACCTATGTAGTCTTTATTTTTCTTTAAAGCCTTGTTCACCTCTTCTTGGGAGTGTAAGTCCACATACACATAACCTGAGGGAGAGAGTGGACAATGTTCCAAAGCTCATCAGTACACAGTCTCTGTAACTGGTGAAACTGATTCAACAAACAAACCTGTTCTGTTTCCACTTTCATTTCTTCCAATCCTAACAGCTGCAGGTTTCAGTGGGGTCATGAACTCTCGTATCTGTTGCTGTTAATCATGTACATAAGAAAGTGTTACAAGTTAAACACATTAAATTAATGCATCATTTTAAAGCAGAACGTTTACTGCTGCATCTTTAAAATGAGAAAATCTATGTTCAGTCACCTCTTTAACAGTGAACGGCACTCCTCTCAGCTTCACTGTGAACTCTGTCGTTGGCTCCATCTGCATCAAAGAGACATGGGTATTGAATAGGAAGCCGACCCTAATACAACTCTTCACTGGACAGTACTGTGTATTTGAACAGTCACCTCCTGCATGGCACTTTTCTTGTCTTTTTTCTGTTTCTTATCATCATCTGAAGCTGAAAGTTTGTTTTTTGAGCTTTTTTCTCTATCACCACTCTCATAATCACTGTCAGCATGCTGTACTGAAACAAAATCCTCATCTTCATCAGCATTGTCTTCATCATCATCATCATCTGCATCTTCTTCATTCTCTTCCATGGTGTCATCTGTCTGTGCCACCTTGGAGCGCAAGTACTCCATATCTGACAGGCCAGACTTCAGAGCAACTTTAGCTTCACCTGAAAATCAACAACATGCAACAAAAGAAAACAGATTAAAGTGGTACAATAATAAAACTTGTTTTATAACTTAAAATACTTCTTTTATCTGTATAAGATCACAGGATACAGTTTCTGAATTGATCTACAGCTGTCAATTTTAATTAGAAAGATTACCTAGATTACCTTTTTCATTTTCATCTTCATTTTGATCCTCATCATCAAACTCATCTGAGTCAAAGTTCAGGTAATCGTCTGAAGCAGGCTTTTTCTTGCTCTGAGCCTGGATTGCCTTGTTGTCGGACACAGCTGTTTGCTGCAGTGTGTCATTGACCCAGGTTGGTACTTGGCTTCGATTCTGATGGACTGACAGAAACTCTTGGAATCCCTGGTCATTTTCCAGCTAAGGTGAAAAAATGAACAGGAAAATGTGAGTTAAAAGTGCACTAGTCAATTAAAAAACATACATGTATTACAATACATGCTTTTTCTTTTATTAATGAATACATTTTCCCTGTACATTTACAAGAGCATTAAATTAAATGTAAATAGAGTTTTAAGTTGTCCAAGTAGTTTTTAAGTTATGTCTTTTTGTTGCTTGTTGAGTCTAAAAACTCCAAAACCAAATGTAAATGTAATTCATTGATTACTTAAATGAACAGCTGACATGTTAGCACAAGAGCATTCTTGTCGACACTATTCTAGTTTATTCTAGACTTTCCTATGCTATTCTAGAAAAACCTGTTCTTTCTTCAACACACTGGTATTTTATTAACATAAAACTGAGTATAAAGGAACAGTCAAAATACATTATACTCACATTTTCAATAGTGCTGTCAACTGCATTTTTCTTCTTTTCCTTCTGTTTCTGAAGACCAGAAAACAAATAAAGAACCTTTACTCTGCATAATAAGAGTTACTTTTTTAGAATAGTTTTGTTGAAAAATGACCCAGACTTCCAAATGATCTTTCTTCTCTTACCTTTTCACTGCCAGTGTCAACAGGAGCAGGCTGTTTGTCTTGGTCTGAGCTTTGAGTGTGTTTACTCCAGGCTTTGGCCTTAGTGGGATCCCCAAATGCATTGCACACCTCCACCTGGAACAAACATGCAAACATCATGATGGTATCGTTTATTCTTCAAATCTAAATTTTGAATCAGATTTTGAACAAACTTCAAAGGACTAAAATTCGATGTGATGAACTGTGACCATTTGAAAGAAAAGAGTTTACAAAAGTAACTAAACCTGGGTGTCACCAAGAATCTTAGTAGGTAATTGAAACATACGACGGAACAAAAACCACAAATATTGTGTTCAGATATTGTTCATAACATATTCATGGTGACGTAAATGACAAGTACAAATAATAACTGCTTCTTGTGTCACATCAAGAAAAACTCATTTATGCGGCGGAGCTGAAGTTGAAGCGTCAAGGTTATTGTTACTGTGTTAAATATGAAAACATTACATCGCCGTATAAACTGTTATTCAACATTGCCTAAAAAATATTGTATCTCACAGTGACTCTGGACGTGTCCACGAAACTTCTGTGAAAGTGTTTCTGGGCTGCATTCGCCTCATCCTCTGATTTAAACCCAACGAAACCAAACTTGCGGAATTTCCCGTCCTTGGTGAACTTCAGTGAGCAGTCGGTGACAGTGCCAAAGGCAGCAAACATGGACCTGAACCTGTCCTCCTTCATCTGTAAACACACAAGTACACACGATAGTAAAGTTACATCTGCGGGTTGGCTTCAAACTTAAATACAGGTTTATGGTTTTTCACAACAATTTTCTGGAAATACTCTCACCCCGTTAGGAAGGTTTTTTACGATGAGTCTCGACATGTTCGGTGGTTGTATACAAACGAATAGAGAATAAAGACCATTAAAAATGTCAACAAAAACAGCATGGACCTTTCACTGCGTCGCCATGTTGTGAAGGAGGAGCTTTTTCTTTCTCTTCTTCTGAAATTACAAGCGATAGCTGACATCCCTAATGTCTATCATCGCCATCTAGCGGCGTGGAGTTTGAAAGTGGAATTTTAATGAAAAACATTGCTTATGTTTTGGAAGATTAATGTAATGGACTGGTGAATTGTCTATGGTGTAACTTGCACTCCTATGATGATTGCTGGGATGGCCTTCAGTTTTCCGAAAAAATTTACAGTTCTTCGAGAAGGATCATTTACTCAAATTAAAAACTTAAAACAAAAATTATCAAATTTTGTTGACAAATAGCCAAACACATTAAAATCAACTCTATATTATAGTTGCACAAAAATATTATATGTATTTTAAAACCAATGAAACACAGTAAGATATGATAGTAATTTCATACCAGAATAATTTTAGACAGGAGCAGCTCTATATTCATCCTGCTCAGTGAGGCATAGCGTTTAAAGAAAAACATCAAATGAAAATATCTTAAAAGTTAAAACAGAAAAAGATCCTTTGAGTTTTTTTTTTTCAATCTTATTGTACTCTCGTGTTATAATGACAATAAAGACTATTCTATTCTATTTTATTCTATTTTAGTGCACTATAATCAACCATAAACAATGTCAAATATTAACCATCTGATCATAGTTCCCTCATGGCCATCATGCTTTCACAGTTAAGCCTAATATAATTCATCATGCCATTAGCTGTATATTTAGTGGGTTTCTGTTAAAACAAGGACCTGTTTTTGCCTGCTTTTGGCAAAATACCATCCTCTGCTTGAATGAAGTGGCTCTAAGGCTTAAAAATATAAATTGTTAAACAGAAAACAGAAAGTTCAGTGAGTATACTATGTCCCTAAAGTGACTGACTTCAACTCCAAAAGTCTTCACAACTTTTTTATTAATCCACAACAACAACCTTTTCATACTTTTTCAATAATCCAGATGTATATAACACAATTAGGGCTGTCCAAATGAATGCAATCATTGCTTTAATTAATTACTGGAATTGATCTGATAAACATTTATAATGCATGGGCAGAATGATGGTTACTGTATACCCAATAATTCCACTTCAACACATTCTACAAGCCAATGTCAAGATCCACAGTATTGTCAAAAATTAACCAACTCTATGAAACTAAATTCTGAGTTTTGAGCTTACTTGACTTTTTTTTCATAGTAATAATTCAAGCCTTTGGATCAGTGACAAATAAAACCATTGTGAAACACATATATTTACAGTATATTGATTAATAATGATTAATCATGTCTAATCCAGAGCTACATTGTTAATAATTAGATTAACATATTTAAAAAAATTGGCAGCCTTTATATCTACACATACAACTCCTGCAAATATCATCTGGATTAAAGTTCTGTCTGTAGCTTTCCCTCCAACAGTAGCAATGCTTTTGTGCTAACAGCTCAAAAATGAAATGCTGGAAGGCTGGAGTGTCCCCTACAAAACAAAAACATTTACAATTTAGCTCCCTTACATTAAAAGACATTTATACAAAAAATGACTCTTTAGTGGAAGAAAACTCCCAACATCTTTATATGGATGTTGACAAGAGTGCCCCTGCAGGGCTGTCAACTGTATCGTCCTTTCTTTTCCTAGATGATTTGAACTCATTCTGGATTTCAAGGAAAGTTTTGTTCTTGGTTTCAGGAACAATTAGCAGAATGTAGATGGCCACCGAGGAGCAGAAAACCAAGAATACCAGGAAACAGTACTGTTTCAGCTCCAACTGTGCAAAAAAGAGAAGAATCACACATTATATATAAAAAAAATCAAACAAAGGGTCATTCAGAAGTACAGGTCAGATACCACAAAAATGACTGTTTGATACCTACCACAATAAAAGGAAAGACCATGCCGATGAGGAAGAAGCTGGACCAGCCCACGGTTCCTGTGATCATGTAAGCTGCAGGCCGAGAAGTTTGTGTGAATAACTCTGTGGTCAAGATGTTGGTCACGCCACCTTCACACAAAAGGGGAAAATCTAGTTACACTATTTTTACTGCAGGATACTTGTACAGTCCAGCTCAAACTTATTCAGTTACCTGGTCCTAGCCCAAAACTCAGGATGAAACCAAAAACACACACTGCGCTCAAATACGACAAAACTGGGCTGGCATCCTGTGAAAAGAAAAACACACACCATAAAACAATGATTTCGACTGACAATTCAAATAGGATTGGCCAGTCTTTGGTCTGGAGCTTAAGTACCTGAAAGGTGAGTGACAGTGTGAATAGTATGCAGCAGATACTCATCAGTATATATCCTCCGGTGATGAGGACTTTTCTTCCCAGGGCATCGATGACCATTCCCTGTGTGAAACATATGTTACAATGGCCTTGTCATTCATTTGATGGATGGTTTTTGGATTTAATATTAAGTAGTATTATTATTAACATTCCTTCATTGTCATCATTAGGGATGTCACAGTTCACTTACCTCACAATATGTGTATGATATGATTAACATTTTTTTTCACGATACAATTTTAGGCTTTGTCCGAGATTTGCTTATTGCAACAAAACAGTTAAAAAAAATACTTTAAAATTATACTTACACATGTTAAAGCAGTGAAGCACTCACAGACCCCAGTGCCTACAGTCACGTATGGTATTTTATCAACAGAAATCCCGGACCGTTTCAGCACATAATCTGTGTAAAAGTATATCTAAAAAATAAAAGGAAAAAGAAATAAACAAAATTTGTCTTTTTTTGGACAATATGAGCAGATTGAACACGTTGAGTGACAGGATACAGACAGCATTAATGCCGTTAAGCTGTTGTACAGCACTGAGCAGGATGACCGTCAGGAGCTGCCAGCGAAGACTGCGATCAGCGAACAACTCCCATGGTTTTATGCTCTTGAAACCTGATAAATGATTCTTCTCCTGTTCTATCTCCTGGAATTCAATGTCGCAGTAATGCACACTGTGCAGTTGCCTCAAGGCTGCAAACAGGAAAACACATGACATACGTGTGACACTTTAATTCTTCTCTAACAGCATCAGCAGAGGCAGATTTTGGGGAAATAACTATTAAATGGCTGCCGACGTCAAAGAGGTTTTGTTCTCACATCAAAACAGTGTAGAAGGAATGTGATCATATGCTCAACATCAACTCATGAAGACAGCGTTTCAACTACACTGTATTTAGGACTGAGAACACAGACTCACCCTTTTTGCAGCCTTCTACATCTCCTTTGTCAATCAGCAGGTAGCGAGGGCTCTCAGGAAACCACGGCAGGATGAGGAGCTGCAGAATGGCAGGGATACTTATGGTGGAGAGCAGGATCGGCCAAAGCTCTTCTTTACCCAGAACCTCTCTGTAAAATCAACCCCCAGTTTTAATCATCACCTTGTTTAAGTTTGGTGTAAATTAATTCAGATATCTTTTGTTGTTGAAAATCATGTGTACTTGAGGCCCATCACTTGTCCGGTCAAGATCCCGCCAGTAATAAAAATGGAGGTAGCCATTCCCATGGAGCCACGTAAGGACGTTGGAGCAATCTCACCCAAATACAACGATTGAACACAAAGCCCAATACCTTAGAAACAGAACAAGAAACACACTAAATAGTTTTGATAATAATAATAAAAAAATGTGAAGTAAAGTTCTCTTTCAACGTGCGTCTAAATCATTTACCTGCATTTATTCCGATTAAAAAGCGTCCCACTATGAGCAGTTCAAACAGTCCTGTTAGGTAACTCAGACCCATCAGCAGAGCAGCTGCCAGTGCAAACATGTTATTGGCCAACAAGGTCCCTTTCCTGACAAAGTCACATTGTAATGGAAAATGTTAAATAAAAAAAAACACATAAAAAAAAAACAACACTTTACCAGGAAGACCCTGGATGCCTTACCTTCCTAGTTTGACAGACATGGTCCCACCTATGGTCGCTCCTAAGAGTCCTCCCAGAGTGAATATGGACACGATGGTCGACCAAAGCAGGGTGATACCATGCTGAGTGATGTTCATTTGGTAGCGCTGCTTCCAGGTAGAATTGATGAAATCGTGCACATACTGTGTTGGCGACAAACAAATGTACACGCATCACTATGATGCAGTTTCATTATTAAGAAACAATGGTTATTGGTAGGAAGCTGTATATGGTACTGTACAAAGAGAAGGCTAATAACTTCAGATACAATGAATAGTACATCAGTTCAAAAAATGTTTTAAATGTTTTCAAACAGACTTAAGAGAGTTGAGTTTTTTTCAACTTCCATGTCACTGAACTCAGTATATTTAGTTGACGGATCAACTTAAAGATAGCCAGAAAGATGATACTGATTAATAGATTTTCAGGCCAGTGAATGATGTTTTTTTATATAAATAATCGACTTAAATAACAATATTAGTTTTTTACACAAGCTTAAATAAAGATCTAAAAGACTGGCAAATCAAACCTCTGAAAATGTAATACTATACTAATGATAATACAGATATGGATATACAGTAGATATTCAAATACTTTATAGCATAGATTTCCATTCTCATACGGTGTATTTTGAAAAGAAATAGAATGTTTGTAAAATATAAACTTACTACTTTTTTAAAAGTTTTTTTATCAAAATATGCAGTATATAAAAAATACTTTTCAAATAAATATTCAACTGATTCAAATGCGGAAAATTTGTTTGTTATTTGCTGTCGTTTAAAGCTTAATTTAATACAGAACACTTAATGAAAGGTTAGAACAGAAATAAAAGAAAGTCAGTTACCGCTGTGGGGGCGTTGATGACAGAAATACTGTATCCATACTGAAAAGTTCCTCCAATGGCGGCAGCACAGGCAGCAAGAAAGAGTCTTTTGCTTGGAACCTGAAAAACAAAATTCAACAAAAGATAAAAGTGAATCAAAACAAACTTACTGTTACTGTGCAGCAGCTTCCTATACCTTCGGCTGAGTAGCATCTGTAGCTTCTTTAATGAGCAAAGGCTGATATTCATTAAAGCTCTCCATGGTCATCGCACTGCTGCAACTACTGCAGCTGCCGTTGCTGCTGCTTATGATAAAACTGATGTTTGACTATCTGTTGTTCTGAGTATCCCTCACACACTGGAGGCATTTTGCCACTAGATGACACACAAACAGGAAACAAAGGGTCCATCTGATTTGTAGCTGAAAGGCAGAAAATAATCGATGCTGGGCTGTGGCGTGAAAATTTGCTGCCTTTCTGAGAAAATGCTTCACCGTCATTAGTGTAATTTTCAAAGCAAAATTAGCCACAGTAGCAGTGTGGAATAAAATCTACCCATCATTAACATTTCAAAGAAGATGATTGATTGTATCATATAATACATTCTACTACATATCTATCATAGTCTCTGACCTTGGGGCCACTGTAAGAAGGAGTTACAACATATGATTGAAAAATTAAGCTGCTGAAAAAATGTTGTTAAAGAAAAAAAAACACATTTCCACATGTTTAGTCATGGAGTGTCACACTGTGTTTTATTGACTTTCATTACTGCCTAAAAAGAACTCAAGAAAAGCTTTACTTCAGATAAACAACATCGAACTGTACACTTCCAGAGACTTATCAAAAATAACTCAGTGAAAAACACTGATTCAATTATTTTTGAGGTATAAATTAGTCATTAAATAAAATATTTGGATTTTAAATAAACTGATACAACGTTTATTGTTTTCCCCATTAACTCTTTGTTAGTTAAATTCTTAGAAACAGTTTTTGGTATGAATCTTTTTTAGGTTTTTCAGAATAAAGGTCATGTCCTTATGAACTGAATGAACTGCACATAGCTGAATATGTTTTTAAACACACTTTAGTGAATTAAATGTAAATAAATCTATGGTAAGGAAAGCACTCGCCACTGGTCAATACAATGTGATAAAACGTCTGTGAGCGTGTGTGCACGCGCGTGTGCACGTTAATATATATGATGTGAGGTTAGACATTAACAGTCCACTTGAACTCACTGACACCGTAACCATAGTATGTGCAGACAAACATGCTGGGATTGATGATGATTCCATTTGTGGACTCAATATATAAGTAAACAAATTTCAGAATGTTAATGATAATTTTACCCCCATTAGGGTGGAACATTTCTGTGGTTATTTGTGCTGTACAATCGGTTAATTGTTTTTGGGTTTCAATAATATGTAATGTTTCTATAGACGAGCTTCCACGTTGTGGCTACTAAACCGATAATATACTAATAATATATGATTATTAAACTGAACTCAGCATTTTAGACACAGTGACACTGGTGACAGGAAACCTCCTACAATACACTGACACAACTGTTAAATACAGTTTTTTGTCCTTTTATATAAATCTCTTGTTTATTATGGTGGAACTAAATTTTAAAATTGGTCATAAATAATTTATACGATAATTAATATTCACTTAACACACCAGGTTAGGTTTCAGCTGAGGAGTTTACACAAGTAGAAGGATTTCTAAACAATACAGAACAATAAACCTAGTATAAATAAAACCTTTATCAGGAACACAATATAATAATTTATACCATTATTAATGATCTAGAACAGTGGTTCTCAAACTTGTTGTACTCTGTACCACCTGAGAAAAGACTGAGCTCCCTGAGTACCACAATGATGACCAACATTAGAATATAGCAGCATAGGCCTTCACTGTTAGCTTACACCACACAGGAGAGATGCTTATAAAGATGTTTATGTTTAAATGTTGTATTAATTGTGCATGGTATGGTTCAGATTTATTCAATTGAAAATGTAAATGTGAAAATATGAATTTTCTCAACGTACCACTAGAGAGCACTCGCGTACCATTGGTGGTACACATACCACAGTTTGAGAACCATTGGTCTAGAGGGGAAAAAAACCACAAGAGGGTATGGCTGCCTAAAAGTACAAACTCTTCAAACAGTGCTGGTTACATTTATGTTTAACTTGGTTAAACAGAAACAGAGTAGTTCAACTTGGTTGAAAACAACAGTGAAAGAAGGTATCATTGGAAATCTGTGCAAATGGAAATATTGAATTTTGGTGCTTATTATACACGGCAGGAACAGAGTATGGATCACTGGAAACACATTGACAAATACAGTGGATTCCTTGGGTTTTCATGGGAAAATTTCAACTTCTCAGTGAATGACTGACTGGCCTGCAAAACCATAAAATCTTTAGTGACCAATGGATGTTTATCCATGAACAGGTCGAAGTGACCCACATATATATAATATGAATAAGAACAAATGTCAATTTACAACATTAAAATTTACACTGTTTAGCCCTTAGCTATTATTATGAAAATAATAAAAAACTAAAAATACTTTTAGCACATTCCTAAATCACATCATCTATTAATTTTTGTTAAAACATGGTATTGTGCCATTTATTTAAAGCATCATGTTTGCATTTATTGTGTAAAAAAACCCATGGATTTACCCAAGTCTAGTTCTAAAACTCAACAGTTGATTAATTATAAAGCACTTTGACATGTGGCATGATGCAGTAGATACTGGATGTGTCTCAGCTGATGCATGAAAACACAACATGTAATTTAATTTGATGCTCAATTTTTACCTCACCTTCCTCTTTGGCCTTGATTCCTCCATGAAATCCATTTTTTTGTTTTGGAGCAGACGGTGTAGTAATGGATGTACCACTTCAGTAGAAGCTGTTCAATAAATGGAGCCTATTGTAAGGTGCAGCATATGATCTGAGCTGTGAGAGGGAGCCTCATTAACCCCTTCAGGCACATTACTGTGTGGTGCCCTCTGCTGCAGAGGACAGTCTCCTCCTGACCCTTGATTGTCAGAAATGTAAATGAGACACCTGATAAGAGTGAAGACAATCATTCCAATTGTCTCTGAAATTAACAGCTGAGTAAAATATTGCTTTATGGCCCATGACTGAAAGAAAGATTATTTCAGGAGCAGCCAAGGGTCAACAGATATCTGGAGGCTATAGTCTAAAATCTAAAATAAAAGTGACATAAAAAGAAAGTGAGGCAGCCTAGAGGTGGTACTTTGCTACTGGGTCTGACCACAAGGCAACGCTTTTAAGGAAGACGATTTGATAAGAACACATCGCAGACACCAATTATTCCAGAAAATGTAAAATTACATAATTTTAAATTGTGAAAAAACTGAAGTCATCACGTGAGGGCTGGCTACACTCTTGAGCAGGGGTCACCAACATGGTGTCCAGAGGCACCTGGTAGCCCCCATGGACTACCTTAGGTGCCCATGGGGTATGTTCTGAATATAAAACTAGTGAACAATAGGGTGAAAACTTGTACTGTGACTGTGCTTTTTGAATCAGTTAAACTTACAATGATATTCAAAAAGGTCCAACAACGATGGTAAGAAGAGTGTCTACTGTTGTATGTCCCAGAACTGATTATTATTACATTGTTCTAGAAGTCTGTATCAAACAACTAGCTCTCTGTATTACTGAGTACCCTTGAAGTAGCTCTCAGTTTCAATAAAAGTTGGTGACCCCTGCTCTAGAGTCTAAGGCTTTGCTAGCGGTGGCTTCTGAGCCAGTTATAGCACCTTTAGCCACATTGCATTGACTCTCTGCATGATCACATTTGATGTTTGTAAGTGGTCCAAGTTAATTGACTTTAGGGAAAAACGGTGTTCAACATGACCTGCCTTTTCTTCTTGACTGTAAGAAGAGAACATGCTAACTCCAAAGACCATTAGTCACCACTGATGTTGAATAGCCTAAGGCAGTGGTCCCCAACCTTTTTTGTAGCAAGGACCAGTCGGCCAGTATCAGCCGTTACTGTTGAAAGATCATTAAATGTTCAAACTAAACCTTTTATACTTTATTCTGTTAGCATCAGAGTCTGAATGACCTGTTGGTTTGAAAGATTGTCAGATTATATTTTAATTAAAAAAGTAAAAGGGATATGACTGGATTCTTTTTGAATGAAGTAAATTAGTAAAACTGAAGTACATTTTTTCACAGTGTCACAGTACCATATGACCTATGAACTGTCATCGGTCCCAAAGCCAAGGGTGAGGACACCGTGTCTAAGGTGTGGATCATTTAGGTCAAACAGAGAGCATAATTTTGTTTGTGGTATTGTAACATTTAATGGTTTGTTACAATATCAAGGGTGTACGGTCGCACAAAGCAGGTGATCCTCTGAGCTATGGTACTTAAAGGGGAACCTTATCTTGACCTGTTATCCACACAGAAGATACATGCCAAGAGGTAGGTGTCACAAAGTATGTTACTATGTTACCAAAGTATGTTACTATGTTACCAATCAGTACTTTTGAAGGCTAACTGCATTACATGTTCTCCTTTTGACAAAGTTAGATGGATGAACCATTATAAAACAATAGTGTTCTATCTAAGCTGATCTTCAAAACATTCAAATTACATTTATATCACCTCCTTTAGGACAAGAGGGTGTGGATAACAATAACTTGAACTTTCTGAACACTACTTTTCACTGACACAATCTATCATGCCCGATGCTTTATGTGGTTTTATATTCCACAGTATATTCTTCTACATGCACAAGCAGCATGGTGAGAAATATTTCACATCTTGACCAGAAGATTTTGGTAACTCCTCCACATTGTACCTTTACATAGTTGCCAGTATTCATTTATAACTAGGTTTCTGGGTTTTCAGAGAAACACATGACCAAAGTGTTGCAAAGCTTACTCAGAAAAACAACTTTTAATCCTTTTTAAATCCTATTTTAAAATAATTTCTTTACGTCATTCCAACAGTTATGATCAAACATGGTCTGTGAGGGTATGGGTGATGAGGAAAATAAAAACCACATATGTTTGTGTTAATTATTTACAATTACCTTGTTAAACTTTTAGGTTCCTGTGTGTTAGACAATAGATCTTGAAAAACTGCCAAAGACAAAAAGCCCCACTTGTTTTTCTAACTTTCCCAGACTTTTTAGATAGATGTTTAAACTAAATCATTTGCAAATATATATATATATATATATGTATGTATGTATGTATTACATATATGTATGTATATATACAATTGTTTATGATTTCCTGGCCATTTTTCAGACAAATATGAATGATAACACTCTAACACTAATATGGTTAGTGCTTGGGAGAAGCAATTTATTATCAAACAACTGTGTTTACTCTTTTTAAATCATAATGACAACAGAAACTACACAAATGACCCTGATCAGAAGTTTACATACCCCAGTTTTTAATACTGTGTATTGCCCCCTTTAACATCAATGACATCAAAGCTTGGAGTCTTTTGTGGTAGTTGTGGTTGAGCTGCCCATTCTTCTTGGCAAAAGGCCTCCAGTTCCTGCAAATTCTTGGGCTGTCTTGTATGAACTGCACGCTTGAGATCTCCCCAGAGTGGCTCAATGATATTAAGGTTAGGAGACTGAGATGGCCACTCCAGAACCTTTACTTTATTCTGCTGCAGCCAATCGACTTGGCTTTGTGTTTTGGATCATTGTCATGTTACAATATCCAAGTAAGTCCCATTCGCAGCTTCCGGGCTGGTGAGTGCAAATTTTCCTGA